CTGCCATGGCTTCATGTGTGTGGACTTTGCATGTTCTCCCTGTGTTGTTGTGGGGTTTCCTCTGGGTACTCTAGTTGCCCCCCCCCCACAGTCTAAAAACATGCTGAGGTTAATTGGTGTTACCAAATGGCCCATAGGTGTGCATGTGTGAGTGAATGGTGTGTGAGTGTGCCCTGTGATGGATTGGTGACTCATTCTGGGTTGTTCCCTGCCTTGTGCCTGTGGTCTCGGCATAGGCTCCACAACTGTGAATAAGACGAGCCGCTACAGAAAATGGGTGGATGTATAGTTGAGGCCTTTGGGTTTCAGTCCAGGTAAACCTATGTGCTAATGTAAGTACCCCTGACCATACGGCATCCTCACCTGCATCTACCAGTTCTGGTCTTTTTTTTCCTCCCCCAGATTTGCAGGTGCATTCCACTGCCCGGCTGGGGGGGCGGCACGGCTGACACAGAAGCTGAAGCAGGATGACAGCACCAGGGTTCATTAACAAAACACAGCAGAAATGAACAAAAAGGCTCAGCTTCGCTTTGCCTCCAAGATAGAATCTCTCCAAGTCCAAAACCATTCCAGGCCTTGCTGCCCAACAACAAAAAGATTCTGGAGCCAAAGACGTAAAAGCCATTCCACCCCATTTGATTCGAAAACAGCTGCTACCACATTCGGCTTCATGGGATAGCAGCTATGCTTTCAGACGCTTAGCTATGTGAGTAAAATATACCAAATTTACAAAATCAAGTGTGTGTGAGAGAAATGTGAGGAAAACCCTCCCCTAACACTAAATGTATTTATTTTTTGATCGATTGAGCATAATTGTATACATACAGTCAGACATCCTTTTGTTGTTATACTGAATGAATGTGACCATAACCCGAAATATTAATTGCTCACTTGCTTTCATAATTTCCTATTGAACACAGCTAGAGATTAAAAGGAAAAGTTAGTTTCTACCTTGTAAACTTGTAACACTTGCAGTGTTTAATGTCTCATTGTTTCTTCAATGAATCTTCTGGAAGCCTTTAAGGGGGCTTGTCATCTTGAATAATTATATCAACACGGTAGTCATTAACTAGCCTGTTTTTTAACTGTTGGTGGCATTCAGTCTGGTTTTCAGCAAAGCCTTTGCAACAAATCAGCAGAGCCTAACAAGTTAGCATATTTTAGGTAGTTAAGGACCAAAAATATGTTAATTCAAATTACAGAAGGAGCTCAGAGGTTGTGTCCTTCGGCGATTTACCCAGCAGAAAATACTTCAATAAATTATCTGACTTTACGAGAGTAGTGGAATGAGGTTGACATTAGTTTCCTGTATTTTAACCCATCGTAGGACTTCTTGTATGCTAGAAATAACACAAGCTAACCATCTCCCATAAAGATCTGTACCTCACAAGGAAAATGAGTGAGGTATCACCCATACACTTATCAGTGGATCTGATTCCAAAAAATAAAGCACATTTACTGCAAAGGAAAATCAACATGAACAAAATGCATTGTGGTGCCTCAACGGGTTAGGCCTGTGATCAGGAGGTTGTTGGTTCAAATCACATGGTTGACAGAGTGATGTCATCTTTGGGCCCTTGAGTAACGCCCCTAGCCTCCAGTTACTCCTGGAACTGTTTGACACTGCTTTCTCAGTGCTAGACAGTGTCAGCATGAGAGACCTTCTACAGATTGACTCCCTCAGAGCTGGAGGCTTCAGCAGGGCATGGGCTCTTATCCGACAGGGCACGGGCTCTTATCCGACAGGGCACGGGCTCTTATCCGACAGGGCACGGGCTCTTATCCGACAGGGCACGGGCTCT